GGATTGTAGGCACAGAAATAGAAAAAGAAAAATTATATGGGTCACCTTCCCCCCAACTTTTGTAAATTATCCAGTACTAATAGTGAACAGCATTTTCTGAAGTTAATAAATAAACATTTTCACAAAAACAACCCTCTAAGTAAGATCTTCATAGCAAAATGATCAAAATAAGCTATTCCTGCACCAATAACATGTACAGAATTATCAACTCTCATAATAACTACATTTTAAGTAAATTCCATGGGGCTAACAATAAACCTGGTATGAAACCCCCCTGTAATTGTAGAAATAGTGAAAATTGTCCAATTGAAGGAAAATACAGAGCTACTAAGGTAATGTTATGGGACCTTATCCATAATAACATAATGAACTATTCCATACGTAATAAATACTGCGCCTCAAGAGTTAGCAGGGAGTTCAGTCTGAAGTCTGGAGTGAAGTCCGTCAGTAGTCTGTCAGTCAGTCAGAGCGAACGAGTCAGTCAGTCGAGTCAGAGGCAGACCGAAACAGAGTCGCGTTCAGATAATTACTACTAAACCAGATTGTTCGTACTAACACTTCTACTTCTCTGTATATATTCCTGTCTGTAATATATCTGTGTTATTCCATATCCGTATTCGAGTTCTTCTTTATTGGTTCTACCTTGGACTATCACCGTGGTACAAAGAACCAGACCATAACAGGTAATATACCAAACAACTATTTACGCGATTGGTCAAAAGCAGCCAATCACCAATCGAGAAAATTAGGCGCCAAAAAGCAGACGCGCACGTGGAGAGTAGAAAAAAGCAGCTTTATCGGAGAGACCAGCGGACAATAAGTCACGCCAACGTCTATGTCCCAAGTCGCACGCTGAGACAACATATTCCCAGAGGCAGAGAAGCAGACCAGCCACTCAAATGCCAAGAATGTGAAGATAGTTCAGACGCAATTGGCCTGAACCCCTCGGAGATCATCGCCTTAAGAAGAAATCCTGAAATACAAACATAAGGCAGAGAATGTGATCCCAGTTGAGACCCTAAAGCTCCAGTCGCTGAATCAAGAATACAAGAGACTATTATCGCCTTTGGTCGATAAATGCATATCTCAGATAAGCGTATACCCTAGAAACCCCCAGTATTACTATGATTCGCAAACACCCAATTATATTATGTTCTTGCACACAACTTTCCATATTCGTAAAACCAGACTCTTGAGACTATACCCCTGTATATGTGTGAAACATTGCATTCGTTAATATTGGTCGTATTTCAACCAAATATACGTTGTAGCTCACATGATATAACGTCTTTATTGTCGTTGCCACATACATGCTCTTGTTAATTAAATATTATATCGTTCACCATGTTGTTTCGTTCATTTATGGTTACCGATCGGTTGAATGTGTTATTCCAAGAACCCGGGGAAGCCTAATTCAATTAGATCATAATTGAGTTGGACTTCGCTTACCTTCTTTTCTTTTTACATTATCTGATGATGATTTAATGATGTAAGGGAAATAACCCTAATATTTATTCAGTGATCCCATAACGGAAGGTTATTCGGGGAATATAAGATATAAACGGTATCATCGTGCAGAATACATGGATCTTAGCCTGGTGCTGGTTGTATCCCCCATCATCATATTAGTGCCAGACGAGGATCTATGACAATAGCCACCAGCACTCATACCAGAGACGGCAAACTCTGACATCAAAACCCCTTATGTATATTGTGCAGTCCACCATGCACTACCCAATGTATTTAAAGTCCCGGGGAGGTCAAACTCTGTGATAATATAACATGCGATCATCACAAACACCTAATGCTTGGCACACATTGCACCTTTATGGACTATGTTGTTTTGATGGAGAGAGTGTGCTTTGTGCCACACAAGCAACTGGCCACTTTAAACAAATCTTTATGCAGGTTGATCAGTAGCTGGATGACTAATAGTTCAACATAATTACATGCAGGACAGAAATCCCATGGCGAGGAAGAGATAGCGACGGGGACAGGTGGAGGATGTCACTGGCAGTCTTTAGCTTGTATTTCACATATGGGGGGATGAGATGTAGATGGCCGTTGTGCAGCACAAAATCGAACATTGTTGTACTTCGTGTCCTCCTCTCATAACAAAGCACCCCTATTTAGGGATGGCACTGCTTTCCTCTTATGAGGATGGGTCAATAAAAGGCGACCTAAAAATTGCATAAGGTGCGTATAGCTGGGCATCCAAACTGCACACCCAAAATTTCAGAAAATCAAAACTTAATGAAAGAAACATGTTCATAGCATCTTGAAATGTAAGGACTCTTCAGGACAATAAGAAAAACCATGAATGCAGAATAGCAATTATTGCACGAGTACTTAAACAGAACAGCATCAGTATTACTGCTCTATCAGAAACCAGACTTCCAGACAGAGGGTAACTCAAAGAAGTGAAAGGTGGCTACACCTTCTTCTTCTGGGTAGGATGACCTGAATCTGCGAAAAGAGAATCTGGCGTAGGATTTGCTATCAGAAACGATCTTGTGTTACGACTGGAATCACTTCCAGTTGGTATTTCTGACAGGCTAATGTCTCTTCACTTACCTATCAGTAGGAATAAACATGACACTTTACTTAGTTGTTCTGCTTCTACCATGGACTCTACTGAGGATGTAAAAGAATCCTTTTACTGCAAACTTCGTGAACTTCTAAGGCGTATGTCATTTCATGACAAACTTTATGTGATGGAGGATTTCAATGCTTGTGTTGGGTGGGACACACTATCCTGGGGTAAAGTCCTTGGAACCAATACAATTTTCCAACAACCTAGTTTCATAACAACATGGCGACATCCTAGATCAGGGCACAACCATCTCATTGACTATCGCTCTGTCGGAGTTAACTCCTCTTTAATTCCCCCTGGTCACTAGGGGGCGCTCTCCCTGTACTATAAATAATGAGTGACTTTTTGCTTCGTTCTCTTTACTTCAGGCCTCGTGCTGCATCCTACCTCGCGTGGAGGTGAGGTAAATACTCTTTTTACTTTGAATTTCATCGGACACATTTACAAAAGTGTGATGCCCACATGTGGGAAAACGCCATGAAACACACATACACGTACGTACGAATATTCACCAAAATACAAACTCTTTTGTCGTTCACACACAAACACAAATGTTAATGTCGATGTCCATTGTAATTTTGTCGTTTAATACATATATTTGTTGACATATATATATATATATATATATATATATATATATATATATATATATATATATATATATATATATTTAGTTTTTTTACACTTATTTAAGGTGGATTCAATCTCTGAGTCCGCCATGTTCTTGTAGTGGACCTTCTAGCAGGAATAAACGCACATGTTCCTAATTTAACAACATGCAAACCCACGGTCGGCTTCAGTTCATGGTCGTGATCGCCACGACATAAACCTGACATGATCACTAGTAATCGGTCAATGTCGGTCAGATCACAAAATTGTTTGCTCACATACGGCAATGCATTTGAAGAAGCCTGTTAGAAACAATCGAGCAAAACTGCCAAAGATGGTAGACATAACAAAGCTGAAAGACAGGAAAACATTAGACGCTTCCAAACATTGTTTGACACAAAACTTTCTTCTCTTGATGTAGGCAATGAAGTTGAATCGGCATGGTCTGCTTTATAAAACATACTGTATGACTTGGCAAAAGAAACACACGTTCAGCGAAAACATCAAGACTGGTTTGATTCAAAAGATCCTGAAATCAAATCTCTCCTTGAAAACATGCATAAATGGCATTAGGTCTGGATGGCAGACAAAGCATGCCTATCAAAGAAACAGGCCTTTAAATCAACCAAGGGAAAGTCTCAAACAAAATTGAGGTAGATGAAGGAGGGCTGGTGGACAGCTAAACCTTTGCAAGAGGCTGCTGGCAGATGTGATTTCAAATCATTCTACCAAAACTTGAAAGGTGTTTTTGCAGCGGTCTATCACCAATCTTTTCTTCAGATAACACTCTTTTGACAGACAAAAGCCACATTATCAAACGCTGGGTAGAACACTTCTCCACAATCCTAAATCAGGATTCGTCTGTCGATGCTGAAGTAATAAACAATCTTCCTCAGAGACTTGTTGTACAAAGCTTTTCTGCTAACCCTTCAACCTTCGAGCTCAAAAAAGCCAACAAACAGCTTGCGAATAGAAAAGCCCTCAGCGAAGATGGAATTTCAGCTGAAATATACAAATATGGCAGCAATCTTTTGATACACAAAATTTGTGAATTTTTTAACCATGTATGGAAAAAGGGAGGTGCCACAGCAGTATAAGTATGCTTCAGTTGTCCATTTGTATAAGCGCAAAGGGAACAGGTGTGAGCGTGACAATCATAAAGGAATATCTCTTCTTTCGGTTGCTAGCAAAATCCTTGCTCGTATCATCCTGAAGAGGCTTAATGAATTTGTCTCAGAATCGACATTCTTGACTTGTATCGGTTTTCACCCTGGTCGAGTTGAACCGGCTTCCTCCCGAGCAAGTACAGCATCCCGGACCATCGCTGCCCACGCTCGCCGATCCTGAGCCAGGTTACACGAAATGGCGAGCCAATTGCGATTCCATCGTCGAAGACCAACTACTTGTGGACCCGATAGTACTGCTAGGTCATCCGTGATTGTGCTAGCCCACGTCCTCAGCTGCCCACCGACACGTTTTCGCCAGCCAGGAAGAGAAGGAGGGAGTACATCGCGGATCTCCGTCTACGCACCGACACTGAATGCAGCGGAGGAGGACAAGGACATCCTCTACGGCGACCTACAAGCAGCCGTAGATCGTACCCCTTCCACTGATCTTCTAGTGGTGGCAGGGGATTGGAACGCTCGCACAGGACCGGCGGATGAAGGCACCAGACATGTTCTAGGTCGATTCGCCCTCGGAACATGGTGTGACAATGGTGACCGCCTAGTCAACTTTGCAGTCGCTAATTGTCTTGTGGTAACTAACACTCGTTTCTAGCACCCTCGACGACGCTCCAATGACGGTCGTACGTCCAACCAGCTCTGTACTTGACTCTCGAGCCTGTCGGGTGCAGATACGGGCAGTGCGCATGGATCGGATCATACACTTGTCCGCACACGCCTCCGTCTGCGACTGCGGGCAAGAAGATCCACCAAGATCCTGAAGCAAATCAACATTGTCAATCTGAAGCTGCGCGCGGGAGAACAGTTCAGGTTGGAACTTCACAATCAGTTCTCTCTCTTGCAACCAATCTCAGAGCCTCAACCAGAAAGTGAATGACAGGCTCTCAAATCTGCCACCGTCAAAGTGGCACACGCCCATCTTGGTGTCACCCGCCGCCGACATCGGGACTGGATCACCTGGGAGAGCCTTCAGCTGGTGAAGAAGACGAGTGTAGCGGGACTGACAGGAGCTACGAACTTTCGCGATCTACGGCGCCGCGCAACTCATTCCAACCGCGCTGACCGAAATGCGCATTGGCACGTCTTCACCGAAGAGACTGAGCGTGCAGTGGCCTGTGGCGACTCTCGCAAACTCTACCAGATGGTGAGACGGGCGAGTCGCGGAATTGCAGAGGTGAGTGAGACGCTAAATCGGTGGAAAGAGCATTTTAACGAGCTACTCAATCATCCGACTCCGGCGACGGAAGTGGCTGTTGAAGCGACCGATGAATACGACTGCAACAGTACACCAGCAACGGTAAATGAAGTGCGAGATATTCTGCGCCATCTACATAACAACAAGGCTCCTGGTGAGGATGGTATACCTGCAGAAGTATATAAAGCCGTACCAGATGTATTTGCCTCGTGGGAGCATTATGTCTTCAATGCGGTCTGGCTCTCTGAGAGCTACCCTGCCGATTGGTTCGACGCCATCCTACTACCTTTTTTCAAAAAGGGTGATAGGAGGCTCTGCGCGAACTACAGAGGAATCAGCCTCATCGACGTGGTGGACAAAGTATTTGCGATGCTTCTCCTGCGAAGATTTCATCGCATCCGTGATGTGCGAACTCGCCCGTCACAGGCTGGCTTCCACCCGGGCAGGGGCTGTGTTGATCAGATCCTCAGCCTGCGGCGCACCCTCGAACAACGCTGGGCATACCAGCAACCAACAGTCCTCTGCTTCGTCGACTTTGCGGCTGCTCTCGACACCGTTAATAGGGGCGCACTCTGGCGTATCATGGAGGCCGATGGCATGCCCGCTAAACTCCTTCGTCTCATCAGGTGCTACTACCGGTCGATGCGAGCCCGTGCTCGTGCTTATGGTGAGGAGTCGGAGACGTTTGAGGTGAAGACTGGTGTGCGGCAAGGGTGTGCTCTATCCTCTACCCTATTCAACTATACAATCGACTACATCCTCGGCAAAGCCCTTCGGGACTACGCTGGAGTTGCGTTTGGTCGGAATGTCAGGGTGTCTGATCTGGCCTACGCAGACGACATTGTCTTGGTCGGATCGAACTTTGACGATGTGCAAGCTGCGCTCAACCGTGTGCAAGCTGCAGCACGGGATGTGGGTATGACCATCAATGCCTCGAAGACCAAAGTTATGCCGTCCCTGGTTGATCCAGTCAACTGGCAGCCACTGACGCTGGACGGGATCAATCTGGAGGACGTGCAGTCTTTCATCTATCTCGGTTCAACCATTATACCACCCGGGCAGGCTGCTGCCCGGGTGGTATAATGGTATAGGATCTGAAAGGTCCGCTGTATAGGATCTGAAAGGTCCGCATTCGTACGTCTCAAGCGGTCACTATGGGGGCGACGGGAGATTTCCACGGCTACGAAGGGGCGTATCTATCAGGCTATTGTTCGGACTATCCTGCTCTATGGCTGCGAAACGTGGACACTCAGAGCGGTTGACCTACGAAGGCTTGAAATGTTCGACAACGATTTCCTTTGCTGCATTCTGCGATGCCGCCGGATCGATCGTGTTCCCGCGGCCACTCTACGTCGTCGCCTGAGTCTCACTCCTCTTCCACCCGTCCTGCTCCAGTGTCGTCTCCGATGGTTCGGGCACGTAGCTCGACGCCCGGAGGGAGAGCTCATCCGCGATGTATTTGTACTAGAATCGGCATTAGCAAAGATCCGTGCAGTTTTCGATCCGGTAGAGGAACCATGGATATGATCTTTTGTTTCCGGTAGGCTCAGGAGAACAAAACAAAGATCTATTTGTTGTTTTTGCTGTTGTCAAAGGCTTTCGATACTGTATCTCGAACTGCTCTTTGCAAATTTTTGTCAGAATTAGTTGTTCCAGAAAAAATGCTCCATTGTGGTGATCATCATCGCCATCACACGCACATACATACATACATACATACATACATACATACATACAGATCATATGGCAAGCATTCATTGGCTAATCTCCTCAAAACTAGCTTGCTGATTGGTCAATTCCGACCAATCAAATCGCCTGCACGCGAGGAATAATTTTCCGCGCACAAGGCTGAAGCCTGTCACGTGAGACACAACCTTATATAAACAAAACACGAATAAGCCTCTCTCGTGTTCTCATCATTCATCTTATTCTTTGCTGCCAACATGTAATCTTCAAGAGCTCTCGTCTTAACCGTGCAGTCAGACGTTAAAGAACATTGCCAACAACTCTTACCGACTTTCTCGCAATAGAGTCCAGCTATTTTCGCCTGTCCACACAAATCTACGACTTTACTTTTCAAACGCACACACAGACACAGATTTTTGTAACACATTATACATATCTCTCTCTGTGACTCAGCCAAGTTCATGAACCAGCGCTCTATTAATTTCTTGCTCCTCCTCTCTTTGCACTTTTCTTTTCTGCCATGCTTGAAATAGCATTCTGTGACTTAAATGAAAGAATCAATGTTGAATTCAGAACAAGTGGAAGTCTATACAATCTGTGGGAAATTTGTCCCGGCTTTCCCACATTTTTCATTGGGGTTAAAAAATTGCGACAAAAATCGAATAAAAACAACAAGATTCGAGCAGACAAACTCTCTCTTTTAGGCGGACGAATAAAGAAAAACCCAAAACTCCTGCTCGGTGTGTAACAATAAAAGAAGAAAATGTTTATTTACATGTACAAAAAAGGGGTAAAAGGATAAACTCAATTAGAAGAGAAAGAAAGGGAGAAGAAAATGTCCTTTAACTTTAAAGGAAGAGAAAATTTTCATAAAAGAAAAAAGCTTGCTCAAAATATTTCTCTGTGCGCCTAAAAGTTCTTTAAACGATTAGAAGGTTGTTAAAGATTAGAAACACTCACAGTTTTCTTCAGAGTTCTTGCAGAGCAGGAAAATATCGTTAGATAGGAATCCTGCAGTTGAGTGAGTTCGTAGGTCGATGACAGAAGTCTTGTAGGTGAAAGGAGTCAGCTTTCAACTGGTCTTTAATAGTGGGCTGACGTTCGTTCTCAACAGTAGGTAGTTCTTCTTTGTTGAAACTGGTTCCGAAGTTGACTGGTGTTCTCTATCACTGACCTCACTGACGGTTGTCGAATTCTCACTGCCAAATAGGCGAAGATTCTCCAAATTTATGGAGATTTGGGAGGCTCAGAAGAATCGGGGATTTTCCCTTCCAAAATTGTTATACAAATTTCCTGGTCCCTTCAATGGTCAGAAAATATATTCTTATCTTTGATTAGAAACAAGGCTTTGGGAGCCGGTTTTGAAAGTAAGGAAAAAGGTTGGAGTGAGGTTTGAAAAAATAGGCTAGAATGTGAACTTGTAAAATATTGCATTTGTGGTTCTCAAATTAAATTCCAATGCTTTCTCCTCAAACAAAGATGCAATAAACTTCAGTTTGTTGCAGAAATAAAATCCCATTTTCCCACCCACACGATAGCTAGCATGGAGTAAGATATGGATATGGATAATCCAATTAAAACCAATCCCACCTGGGAAAAATATAAAACAACAATGTAATTTTACTACTAAACTTATTTTTAAGAGTTAATCACACACTTGAAGCCCAAAGTTCTTTGACTTCATGGCCCTTATAAGAGGGGGACTTAATGACAACGCGTAAGTTTTAGTTTAATTAATCTCACCTATCCTGCCAGAGAAAGGAATAGACAAATTGTGAGTAAGTTTACCACAAGGACATAAATCAACTTGACGCCTTTTACATGCACTGTCTGCGCGCCATATCTGATATAAAATGGGATGACAGGGTCAAGAATAGTATAAGACTGAAGAAACGTAACAACATCACAGGAATTGAAACCATTCTAGCAAAGATACAACTTAGGTGGGTTGGTCATGTTGTGAGAATGGCTGAGCATAAGCTTCCAAAAACAGGTGCTGTATGGACAACTATCAAACTCCAAGCGTTCAGGTGGGCGTCCACTCTTACACTACAAAGATAAAGTGAAAGACAACTTGAAACGTCTCAACTTCGATCTGAAAACGAAAGTCACCATCCACTGCTGACCCTCATTTATCGTTCACAATAGGAGAATTCATCCTATATATATTATAAATTAACTGATTTAAAATATGGTTTCTTCGCTACGCAGGAATTACCATGTTTCAAAAACCGAAGCTAAGAACACCGGATTATATACCTTACTGTTTCTTTTTATTATAATATATATATATATATATATATACTCAGTTTTCATTTGAATTTTCTGATGAATCATAATTCTTATTTTAATGATTGAATAAGCTCTTTACATGTTCCTTGACAATAAAATCCATCTGGAATTTCCCTTATTGCATCGTAATTATTTGAGCTTAACAACTCTAACAAAAATATTCTTATAATAATCATAAATATGTATGCAGTTCATTATTTCATGAAGTAATTTGGTACAAATGAAATGATTAAAAATTGTCATGGTTTTCCATTTCACTGAAGCAGACGTTAAAATAATGAGAGCGTTATCATTTTTTTCTTTCATATTATCTAATACTTATATCTGTCATCATAACACCTAAATGAAATGTTGAACTAAACTGTATCATTTATGATATATGATGATAATATGATATAGGTAGAGGGTGTGATAGCTATGATTTTGTTTTGTCAACCCTAAGGTAGCAACACTTGTAACTACAGAAACATGACTAAACACATGCATGGATTTATAGAACAAACAATAACTAGTATTTATTAGGCAGAACATTGGTGCTGTGGAAAAGAAAAGAATGAGTCTCTTTTAGAGGAATTAGTTTGATGCGTGAATGGCAAGCATTGCTTATAAATCATTTGTGTAATCTTTTGGCTTTAATATGCTAATCTTGTACTTAAAAATAAATCTCATTATCTATCCACTGGGTGTTAGTTTTTGTGTTAAATTCTTTATCTGGGAGTAGTGAGTAGAAATTTATGGCGCCATTGTGTCAAGCAAATGTCTCATTCCTGATCTGTCAAAGTGATTACTTCTCTGTTGCTATACCACTATTTATTTCAATGCTGATTCTCCTCTGCTTATATTGTAGTCAGGATTAACTTTGACACCACTTTAGATTCTCGATGTGCCATTTGACTGGCCAAACATTGACTCCCTAATCTGATTTGCTGGTTTTGTTATTTCACTGAAACTATGTCTGCACATTTTTTACATTACAGTGTCTAAACATACTTTAATCTACATCGATCTGTGAGCAGGAAAATATCTGTTAGTATTTTGGACATGTGACATATAATAATAATAATAATAATAATAATAATTAGGAGTATCATGAAATTGATATGATGAATATCTATGAAAATTTCATTGTTTTCTTATTTGAATTTTCTGATGAATCATAACTCTTAATTGAATGATTGAATAAGCTCCTTGTGAGTTCCCCAAATATAAAATCATGTTAGGTATGATTATAAACTACATGTGACAACCAGGCCTCTGATCTGGAGGTTTTGAGGAGCATGGAAGTGCCTCTTAATTGCTGTTTTTCTCAGGCCCACTCTGAACCAGGGTGGTAGCACCTGTTAGAGTCACAGTTATGGGCACATAGTGAACTCCAAACTAGGGTCAAAACATGAAGATATAGCAATATATTTTCATAGTACCATCAAACATTATTGGAAAAAAAATTACTAAAGCTCACAAAAAAATAAAATGACCCATAAGTAGTTGATATGCTGTTAAACAAACCAAACAAAACTGACTATAAAATACTCATGGAAATTCTTGTATTGCTTCATTACATATTTCAGCTTAACAGCGTTTAACAGAATATTGCAATAAGAATCATGAGTTTGAATGCAGGTTTAAAGAAGAGGGTAGAAATTAAAGATTCTGAATCAAATAACATTTCCATTTCACTGAAGAAGACATTAAATGCATGAGAAAATCAAACTTAAATCAAAATGCATCTCAAGTCTATCTTTTTTATGTCAGTGGCTCATCTATATTGTAGTTAATCAAGTAGAAATACAGAGAAAGCTACTATAGAGATGAAAAAATAGATAAAAAAAATGAATGAAGAGGTTTATTGCATTTAAAGAGATTTTACAATAGAAAATCTGTAAGAAAAGGATTATTGATGCTTAGGAATTAATGTAAGCATTTCTTTCCTTTTTAAATGTTATGTCCTTTCAGGAACCATAGAAATCATTGTTCTTCAAATATTCTTTTTAAATGTCATGAATTTATTTTTTATACTATTATTCATCCAATACAAGTCACAAGAACCACTCAAGGTAGAGGGTTTACTGAATGAAATTGTTATAAGGGTGTAAAGGGAGGAAGCAGCAAGTTAATTTTATGAAGATATGTAGGTCTGGTAAGATGAACTTGATTACTACCCCTGTTTTATGATTTGCATAAATAAGTCACACCATCTTAGCTAAAAGGGAAAGACTCTTATGTTTAATAAAGGCACATTAAACTGAACTAGACTCTGAGTTTTCATTACAATTTACTGAATGTAATTATGGACAATTACATTAAACCAGAATGTCTTGTCTTGGACTCTACAGACCCCATCTTCTATTGACACCTGGCAATATTGGAAACAATTATTCAAAGGATTCTTGCTTGCACTGGAAAACAGTTCATCCACTCCTATTACTGATACAGATAGATTTAACCTGCTAATGTACCACATTTCCATATCTGTATATACCAATACTTATCCCCTGTAAAACTTATCAGAGTGCCATGGACATTTGGGATGGAATTTTTGTGAAGAGACAAAACATAATCTTTGCCCAGCATGTGTTAGCAACTACCCACTAATCCCCTGAGGAGGAGTTAGAACAGTATGTTCAGTGCATAAAAATCTTAAGTTGAGACTGCAATTTTCAAGCAATGACAGCAGATCAGGCAGAGGATGAATTTATCAGA